ACTCTCTTAACTCGAAATATAAATAATCAGAAATGAATTCGCTTCAGCCTTTGGATCAGGAAATAGAATATGAGAATAATTCAACATTGCTCCGGTCAACTTTCTTATCAGTCGTTACATTCTAGATTTAAATTACGGTTTTTGTAGCTTCTCCCAAAAATTAGAATGATGCTCGGTTCGTCATCTTTCTCCGTGTCTTGCTGTCAGCTACAGCAAGACAAGTTTCGCTCAGGACTCACCAAGTTCGTAAAGAATTTACATTTGTTCATGTCGTGGGATCGTATCGAGCCGCCATGTTTGTTTTGCATGTTGACACTCCGGAAGTTCGTGCTATGTTCGCATCCAGATCTCGCGCGGTCAAAAAAAGCTTCGGAGATTTCCAAAGCACTGTGCAAAATTTTTCCGCCATGAATTCGGCCTGGCCTTGTTACGCGTGTATGGAAAGTCTTAATCGAATGAAAATAGAAGAGGAGCATATTTATGACAAGCATTTCTACCGTAGAGATGTTAATGGCGTTTCCTTATTTCATTCCCACATTTCTTTATCGGGGATTTTCGATATATTCAAAGCCAAGCTCAAGGAAGGAATTCTGAAAGAAGAAGTTGAAAATTCAGCGAAAAGATCGAGGAGGCTGGTTTATTACTGCACCCTTGATTTTCCTGTGGGTACTTTTCCAGATCGACGTCGACGTCGACGTCGACGTCGACATCATGAAACCCGTTGTGTGAAAGTGGTATGCGCCACCTCAAAATGCCATAATCATTTTTGTCGTCGTGTTTTACCCAAGATTGTAATAACAATGTTTCCATATCGAGACCGAAACTAAAGATCCCTCGTTGAGAAAGAAGCTTATGGAATACAAATCCAAAGTTCTGGAAAAATTAAATGAAGAGCTATCTATTATAGTCGTGACCAGATAGACACTGCCATATCTCCGCCTTTTTCTTCCAACCTGTTTTGCTTTTTGAAGGGTCACTCTTGCTGTACGGCTCTAATTAAGATCACAGATGACTGGCGTGCAGGCCTTGATGACAGAAAGGGTATTGTTGCCATAGTCATCGACCTCAGGAAGGCCTTCGACTCTATCTCCCACAGTTTGGTTATTGCAAAGCTTAAGGCTTATGGGTTTGTCACAGATGCCATTAATCTTATGAAGTCTTTGTCTCTCCGCTATATGCTGATGATACAACTGAATACTACGCAGATCACTCGCCTATGGATTTAAATTATACCATCAACAAGGAACTTAACGCTATTAAAAGAATGGATTATAGTAAACCATCTATCAATAAATACTGTGAAAACTCAAGCTCTTGTCATCGGAACAAACACTTATAAGTACGAACTTTGGTTAGGTGATACTCCTGTGGAAATAAAAGACCTCTAAAGATACTAGGAGTCATCACTGGCTCGAACCTGATCTTTGAGGAGCACCTAAAATCCCAGATTTATAAGGCATATGCTGAGACAAACGCTTTACGTAGAATGAGACGTTATATTCCAATGCATGTAATGATTCAATTATATGAGGCTTTTATTCGTCCTCATCTTGAGTATTGTGCACCAATACTTATTGCAATAACTAAATCTTTATCTAATAAATTGGAAGATGCAAATTACTATATTCTCAGAACGTTATTAGGTTTACCTAAGTCCACTACGTATGATAGTGTTCTTATATCAACTAACACGCGTACGCTGGAACAAAGGAAGGTTTTTTCATGTTTTGATCCTACTTTTTTAAAAGTTTCAATAAAAATGGTCCTAGTTACATTAAAAATTTCTTTAAACTTCGTACAGTCAATTATAATCTTAGAGGCTCAGGCGCTAAGCTTGAGCAAAGTTCTTTTACAGTAAGTGGCGCCTCAATTCCTTTGCATCCACCTTTGGAATACTTTACCTTGCAATGCTATAATTGCTGGTAATTTGAATACTTTTAGAAGTATAATAGACAAATTAAACCTTGTACCATTTATTTTTGGCTAAACACCATAAGAGGAATTTGTTACTGTGCTCTGCACATGATTGTTTATAGTCTTTTATACATCTGTAATTTTCTTTATTTTCAGTATTTTGTAATTGCACGTGCGCATTTTGAACGAGTATGCTGAATACTCCTTAGTGTTATGTGGATAAATAAACTATATATCTATATATAGCTCCTCAAAAAATATATTTTATCTCTCCTATGTTCCCAGTTAAGCTTTGTTAGCAATGCTGGAAAGTAGACACTCTGCAAGTAAAGAACAAAATCATGTTCTGCAAGTCCACCAGTCTTTTTACGGAGAGAAAGTACTTTTGAAAATAGATAACTGGGAAAATAGGATAATCATAGTAAAACTTTCGGTAACAAAAAGCAGGATGAATTTCTTACTGAATCAGAGTACCGTAGTATAACTGATATATTTAATTTCGACGTATTCCGAAGCCTTTTTGCATAACTCGTTCAGTCGAAAAAATTTCTCAGGAAACTGACTTGTAACAGAGGATATGATTATGTCATTTCTTCGAATGAAGTTTGTAGACCAATTTAAGTAACATTTTCGAAATTCGGTTAAGCAAAGATTCGTACGGAAAAACTTCCCATTCAAGATGGCATGATAAAGTTACGTACAAAAAATGACATTTCTAGGCGTGTAAGGAGGCTTGTTTCAACTCTCTCTCAAATGCTTCACTTGTGAAAGTCACTGCAATGAGTATCCTTCTCTGAGTGAAGGCGAAGGGTGATGAGGCTTCCTTTGAAGTCTAAAAATTAGGTTATAAAGCCTTGTTTTGTCTCGCTCAGCTTTCGCTAAAAAATTTTTATTGAAAGCAAAATCAGCCAATTTTGTACGATGAAGGCTGATCGAGAGAAAACGATTGCTGATGGATGATACTCCCACATAAAGTTTCAAATATCTCAAAATTCTGTGGGGCTATTTCTGAATCCAGGCAGTGTATTGTTATCTTCAATCCTCAAGGGCTGAAAATAGAAGTAAATTCCATCACAATACTGTAATGGCTCTTTTAGAAGCAACGTGACAGTGTGAAAGTCTAGAACTCAAAGATTTATTTCAGGTCACTGTAATAAATAAAAGCCGCAGTCATTGTTTTGAGAATTATCTTCTACATTTCTTTATTTTTATAATTGTGTATAACATATAATTATTATCATGTCTATACTTGTGCAAGTGGTTTAATGGCTTGTAAGGGACCACGTGCAGTGTTTCCTTTGTGGGAAATGGTGGAATGCTATATTTTTGATGTAGTTTGATCGTTTGTATGCGATTTTTTGCAGCAACCTGCATAAGACTTGAGCGGGAAGATGTTCCACAGAGGAATGAAGTAGTATGGTAAAGTTTTGCTTTGCCAGTGTATGGGGCCATTAGATTAGAAAAGAGTGAAGGAGTCATGTTTTATTTTCAATAATCATGTAGTACTTGGCATTTTAATTTAAACAAAATGTATCTGATTGTACTTGCAAAAACATGCCCGATATGTTGCAAGATTGACAGTCAAGTTCATGCGTTGCTAGAGCTCAGTTAGTGCTTAGGGTTAAGGGCATACCCCGCCATCAAGCCAGACTTGCCGATAAAAATGCAGAGGGCTTAACGTCAAGGGTAGTGCTCCGCATGCAGCCCAGCCACTAACTTATCCAAGGGTTAGTTGCAAATGGCTCTCTAAGGAAAGCTCTAGGGGTGGGGAAGGTATGTTATTGGACCTCTTGTCTAACTGGCAGTTTTCTATAAGGCTGGAAGGGGCTTGTCTTATTCATCTTATCTGACAGCCTGCATTACAGTACTGGTAGTCAGGCTTGTAGCCAGTCACACCTCAGCCACTGCGCTAACAATCCATGGCTGGATAGTGGCTGAGTGTCAAAAGCATGCCTTTGGAGGAGAGGGTTCTATTGACATTGTAAAAACCTGATGTCTAGGTTTTCGCTTGAAGGTGGGCATCGTCATAGTGACTCTGCCTACGCTTTAAATGAAAAGTCTTTCATTAATGCAATACTCATTTAGCTACAATAACTAAATAGAAAATTCGTGAAAAAATTAACAAATGACGCTGATTGACGTGTCCTTGGTATCGATGGTTATTCGACGTTCGCCAGTAAAGGCGGATAATTGTATCACTGTAAACAGAATAATCGGAATCCGAAGGTCTGAGATTCGATTCCTCATGGAGACTCATAATTTTTTCTTTGTCCCACGCTCGTGATAAGACGAAAAACATTTTTCTTTAGAACAACTTTTTATTGGTCACTTGCTTAAAGCAAATTGACAAAAACAGCCTTTTAAGATTGCTCTTTTAATCACAACTCAATTTCTTCTCTTAATCACAACAATCTTTTCCAGAACACAACAAAATTTTCTGTCACGCAAAAGCAAACTGAAACAAACTAAAATTAAGTGAAACGCAACAAAATTTAAAGTACTGGCCCGGGTTGTTCAAAGCTGAGTTAAGATAACCCAGGGTTAGTGTGAAATTTGATTATAGGTCTGAAAGCTTTAAGAGAGTTCAGTTCAAATCTTTTTGCTTGCAATTTTATCCATGGATTTCCTAAAAGTAATAGGGAAGATTTTTCCTTAAAAAGGATTCTTGAACAAAGAAATAAAGAAAGCTGGATTAATATTTAACCCCAGGCTAGTGCTAATCGGCCTTCGAACAACTGGTCCCTGGTGACTAAACCTGTCGCTGAAAGCAACCGGAACCTGGAACTAGCTATGGCTACATACTATTAATTAAGGCGCCAGTTTTGTACCGTTCATGCTGTGGATTTTAGCTAAAATGGCTTCTTCAAGTTCACTAAGCGATCATCCAGAAGAAGAAAGCATAATTTCATATTAATTTTCAAGAGGATATACGTATCAAGTTATCACTGAATTTTTAGCGAAGTGTCATGGCATTACGACGTGTGTACGAACTTTGGAAAATACAGGTTTTTAGGTTGAAGCAGTTGAACTTTAAGGAGAAGATTGCCATCTTTTGACTCGGAAGTTGTTGGATGGAGTCGAAAATAATGTGGCTAACAGTCACAAGGTTGAACAACCATCCAGAAATTATTGCCAATTTCTATTTGAACTGTGTTGCAGGGCCAGAAGGCTGTCCAGTGAAACTGAGGGCTGACTGTGGAACAGAAAATGGTGTAATGGCAGCTATGAAATGTACATTTCAACAAGATGCAGAAGCGCTCAAGTATGGGGGTCATCTCCGGTGAACCAAAGGATTGAGGGCTGGTGGGTATTTTACAAAAGAAACAGTTGTTATAAAGCATGTAGGAAGTAGCTAGAGTATGAAAGAAGCGCTTGAGTGCTCAAGCCGCTTCTTAACCCTTTAACTCCCAAGTGTCACTACTAATTCTCCCCTACTGTCTGTCATTCAGTTCTTGTGATGTTAGTTTTGAGAATTTGGTATTGTATCAACTTAAAATCCACTAACTGATGTTTTTCTTCATTCTCGTCATATGTCTGCTTGATATTATCAAAATTATATTGCAAGGAGAAGTTCTGTCTTGGTCACTCATGTAAGTTATGCAATGGATACTAAGTTGAAAATATCCTATCTCACAGGACACCATGTGTTGCGTAAAATTCAAATAACTACTGCACAGGAGTCAACAGACATGACACACTGATGCTCTCTTCTCAGTGGCAGCCCAAGCAAGGCCTATACCCGAAATTAGGCAATGAAGATCCGTCTGTGAACTGTTCCATGAATTGGGAAGAGTTTGGAGACTGCATTGGTGGAGGATGGACGCTGGTCATGAAGATCAATGACAAACAGGTAATGCAAACATGTTGAAGGCTCCAAAATGCCATTAACTAATAGAATGTACACTCTTCATCGGCTAGGAAGGGGAGGGGGATGGGACGGCTTTGGTTGTATCCAATAAAATTTATCTGATTCTCTCCCCCCCCTCCCCACTGGCAGTCAATTTTCTAGAGTCTTCCCTTTCTACTATGTTATACTCTGAACCCCTTTCTGTTACCACTGAAAACTGTGTGATTCTCCCCAAAATCTTCTGACACCCCCATCCCCCAGGAGATAAATAATTAGTGGTTCCTAATGGTGGCATTGGTTTTTAAGTTTTTGATATTCTCTCTAATTTTGCTCACTCCTGTTTGTTTCACGGTGCTTCTTTAGAGTCAGTTTTTGTTCTAGAAGAGTTCACATCAAGAAATCCTAGCTAAATATACTGCAGTTAGTCAAAATGCTTTCCTAGTCTCAATACAGTAAAGATATTGTGGCACTTTTTATGGCACTTTTTATTAAAAAAGAATGTCTTCTGAAATTGTTAAAGTTCATGGCTCAGCCTTTTGTGACTTTGAGACAAGAGTGACTAAAGAATGTAGTGTGCATTTCAATTGAGTACTTAAAGTAATCACAATTAAGGACAATCATAATGACTAAATAACAACTCCCAATGAAAACAAAAACAAAGCCTACTTTAAAAGAGCAGGAAGGCTTGAGTGTTTAACCTTCTACACCCTAACATTATTATGTACATTCTCCATACTGTTCTATATATATCAGAATAATTTTATTGGCAATTGAGAGCTTCTTTAGTTTGTGATTATTTCATTTACCCTTATGATCTTCCTGTTTGATTCACGGTTGATAGTGTAGGGAGAAACTAGATGCTACGTAGTCAGCTCTAAGTGGTTAAAGGGTTGTCACCATTGGGTTAGGTATAGCATCTGACTGGGTGAGAGATTGGTGCAAGTCTGCTGAACCACTGATAGAGCAGAGTGAACAATACCAGTGCCATGGATACTAAGTTGAAAATTTCCTTATCTCACAGCACACCTTCAGTCACAATTCAAACATGTAGTCCTCCAGGTCTTCAGTCACCTGAAAATGGAGTCACAGGATTGGATCACTTGGAGACCCTGTTACAAACCTACTAGAGCACATCCTTTACCACCATCTGCCTTACCATGGGACCAATAGACAAGGAAACTGTGAATAAGTTATGAACACATTATATTTAAATGAATTTTAATATAATTAAATGCCTCTTTACAAAAACATACACTTTTACATGTTAACATAGGTAGCCAATGGGTATCTCTTGGATAGAGTTGATTGCTGGGGTGATGTTGGGTGAATAGTTAGAATTCACATTTTGGCTATCATTTGACCTGCACCATTACTTTAACTTCACTTTTGCCATAAAAGTGTACACTTTTTATGGCAGATTTTTAATGTAACATTTGTATGAATGTGCTGCAGGTTGTGAATAAGTTACCCACTCCATTCCTCCTTGTTCTTTTTGAATAAGATTCTATTTGATAGCAGTTGAATCCCCAAAAAATTACAAATGAATAAGTGGCTGGCTGGCTATTAGTTTAAAGGGTCTTTTTAAATGAGATCTGACTTTTGTTGCTATGTCTTATACTCAATTTCATATTCAATTTAGTCTTTCTTTTCTACAAGCCTGCTTAATGTTCTCAAGAGATGTGACCTTCTTGTTTCTGCTGTTGACAATAAGCAAAACTATGTAGGATTATCCAGCTGATGTAACATAGCAAACAAGTCTTTCTTGCAATTTTCAAAGTAAGATAATCCTCCTAGATTTCTTGATACTCTAAACCCTTCATCTTGATGAATTAATTTAATTACATTATCATCTGAGTTTAGGTCACCTGCAATATATTTGTTGCCTTTTGTTTCTTATGCAGGCACAATTTGAATTTGTTTAATTTGTAACTTTTTTTTAATTTATAGAAGATGTTTGGTACTGATTATGCCACTTATATATTGTACTGTAATGGACAGGTGTCATTCTGTCCTTATTATCAGCTCAAGTTTTTCCACAATAAATAGTTGGAAATGATAGGAATTCAGAGTCTTTGCCCATTTATATACCTAAAGGTCTGTTTCCTTCTCCTGATGCAAAAGTTATTATCTTGTTAACATTTTCAGTCATATCTGGTTCTTGTAATTGAGTATCTGTAGCAGTAATAGCTAGGTTCACCATACAACTGATGGAACACAACTCTAAATAAACAATCTCCAGCACCACCAACATCAAATATTCTCAAGCCATGTTGAGCTAATCAAGATTGTAAAATTAATCAAGATGGTTTGGATTATTTCCCTGAGTGACAGGTCACGGGTTTAATTCGATTTCTTCTAAAGTAAGTAACTTTGCCCTTGAAACAAAATACTTGTGATTTCGTTTCTTACACTTTATTGTACAACATCGAACAACATGTACAAATTTATCGTGAAAAACAGCTGATACTTCACGTCTTCTTATGCTTTTCAGTTCTTGTTTTGAAAACATAAACACTATCAAAAGCAAAATACAACCTTGAACCTTATGCACGAGTGATTGCAACTGGTTTACTTCTACACAGTCTGGTTTTAAGATAATTACGGTAATCAAACGATAAAATCGTTTTCAATGCGAATGTGGTAAACTTAGCACAATACGAGACCTTACATACCTCCTAATTGCTTTACTCTTGTTAAATAAGTTCAGAATTTTCTTTCACGGTAATCTCGATGGTCCACTATCACGACAGACGCCTTTGCTAATACGATTGGACTTAGACCAACTTCTTCGTTCCTGTATGATTTCTGTTACCATCAGATCAGCCCTCTGACTGCGTTTCGTTCTGCTTGGTTACAAGAATGTTTTAGGAGGACATTACTGGACTGATCAGTTTTGCTATTCATGTTGCTAATGTCTTAGTTTAACCTAATGTTTGATTCATACTTTTGCTAATATGTGTGCTCATAGGTTCCCTCGTGAGTACGATCAAAGTTTCGCACACAAGATTCATTCGTAAAATGTTCACTATTTATAAACCCACTGTAAGCTTGGAGGATCGAAGAGTAAACGTCTCGAGGAGTCAAAGACTCCTCGCATTCAGCGTCTCCACACCTTACTACCACATGCTTACTGAGACGGGTATTAGTCGAAACTTCTCGAAGAAAAGGCGAATTCTAATTCAACGTCGCGGCATTTACTTCGGAAAGTCGACAGAAGTCGATATCAATTGCTCTGCCGTTGACATATCGACTTGTTTACATCTGAGTGAGTGACAAATTTGCATATTCTAACCCTATCAACAGTCCTTTCTACGCTTCGCGTATCCACGACCAAAATTAAAGTGAATCGATGAATGAAAATTACGCATCTCTTTGTTTTGTAATTACTAAAAGGAAAATCTGTCTTTCTTGGGAGATTTATCACTTGTACTCTCGAATTGCGGTCGTGACCGAAGCGTTACATAGAATTTGTTGGTAGGTTCGTGACGGAAGTACTGGAATATGGTTGATTGATTGTGAGATTGGAGTTACTAGTGGGTAGAAGGATAAAAATAGCGTACACAAAATCTGGTGTGTTTGTTTGACGCGATATCATTTACGACACAATTTCAGAACAAATTTTGTGAAGGGTGGAAACATACTGCTAAGGGCTTCTTTGCTTCAACAGTTACAAACATTTCTTAAGACATCATTTTAATAAAAAGTTCTCAATGTGATCCAGTGCAGCAGCTCCTGAGATGATCTCAATCAATCCCCTTGTAATCACAGCTTGGCGAGTTCGATTGTATGTCAAAGTCAACTTGTCAATCTTTTCACCTTTAAGAGAGATGGACACAATCCGTTAACTTTGATGAGGGTGAAATTCTTTTGTACATCTTTTGGGGCTGAAATACTCATTCTCTGACCAAATCACATAAACACAAGTTATGACTATGGAAAGATAGAAAGATTACTGAATGAGCACGGTATTGCAAACGCTTCAAGAAATGTGGGAAATTTTTACAAAAAAAAACGTCGTTCACGTGCAATTTTGCCATCCAGTATCTTAGATGGATAGTGATTCCATATAACTTCGGAAAAGCCACATTTGATTGATAACACGCTATCCAGCACTTCAGAGCAATTTGCAATAGAGAATCGAAAGTAATCCAGCTTGGACATGGTTTGATGCTACTCTGGTTTACAGCCGGATTTAATGAATGTAACCGAAGAAGTTACAATTCATAGACCCAACGTTTCGATACTCCTGTCTAGTGCCTTCATCAGGGGTGATCTAAAGTTTTGGCTACATACTTTTTATGGCAAATAAGGTGGTGAGAATCGAAAGCGAGGTATTTGTCGGTGTGGGTGGGTTTACGGTAGACACTTGTCTCTAAATTACCCTGAGCCCCTCTGGACACATTTAAATCAAGAAAGGGCAAATGTCTATCCTTTTCACGCTCAAGGGTCAATCGGATCGGCGGCTCTAGTAAATTCAAATGCGATAAGAGGCGCTCCGCTTCATTTCCGGATACCGCAGAGAGAACATCATCGACATATCGTTTCCAGAAAAAAGGGTTTAACCGGTGAAGTGGCTAAGGCCCTTTGTTCCACGTCTTCATTACCATGTTGGCAATGTTGGTTATCTTTAGTGAAAAGGAAAATTCAGGTTTATCGGAGCACACATTCCTAACCAACCATACAATTGGATGGGATAATTCTAAAATTATCACTACTAATCGGCGCTGCCACCAGCGCCTTTGTTTGGAGGTTTGACATATTAACTCCACTCACGCTCCTTTAAATCGTGACCATGGCGGCTTGTATGGGCGGCCGTCACCACCAAAAATACAAGGATGTCAAATAGATCAGAAAATACAAAGCTGGTTAAGGATCAGCTGCAGGATAGAATAGCTAATAAAGGAATGGCATGGCCAAATTATAGACGATTCAATTTTCTTTCATGAAACAGAACACCCTAAACATGAATAGTCTAGCCAAATGATAAACGGTCTAGTTGCCCATGTCGAGTTGGAACATGAAATTGTGAATGTCAGTTTGTACCTGCATCCCAGGATTGGTAATAAGGCTTGTACCCAGCCACACTCAGCCACCCTCCAGAGTTTCAAAAGTATGCCTTTGGGGAAGAGGATTCTATTGACATTGCAAAAAGCCGATGGCTAGGTTTTCGCTTAAAGGCAGGCACGAGTCTTTTGACTATGATTAGGGTTTCTATTAAGGGGAGGGATGGGGTCACGGAAAAATAAGAGTTGGGAGCGCAGTATTCACATCATGGCTACCATTGTCAGGGGAACCACGAATTTTCCAAAATAATCGATAGCCTTGAGATACATCTACTTTTCCGACTGCAAAAAAAAATTGAAACAAGAAATGGATTGAGGAAATTCTGGTAGTTCAGAGGCAGAGACATAATGCATAAACAAATTGAAATATTTAATCGCCTCTTTTTCAACTTCATTTCGAGACTTTCTCGACGATATTCGCTTAGTCTCAGTGAGTAGATTAGAGTTTCAGAAATCATTGCGAATTACCCCAAAACGAAACAAGAAACAAGGTGATTACTAATTTAGTAAGACCTCGGGATTAACAAGACGGCTCTCACTCTGGGTGTTCCTAAAACTTCGTCGCAAGACTTTATAATACTTATCGTCTTCTCATTTTTTCCTTTGCCACAAAAAAATAGCATTTCTCATAGATGTCATATTTTCCTATTTGACTGTTTGATTTGTTATCTCTACTCCACACTTTGCACAAAGTGTTTTCGCTGGCGACTTCCCATCCAATGAGGCGGATATTTCAAGTCAGTTGTGAGATCCTAGTCTAAATATTATCGTAACTTGATCAAATATCGATCCTTTTCAGAGCATATATAGAACATCTATTTGCTTCCTAAACTGACAATAGATCTTTTTTCAACAGTAACAACGGCAACAGTATCATAAACACTACGTAGTCATGTGCGCAAAGTCAACTCTTACTCAGTATTAAAGGAAGTAAGTTTCTAAAAAGAAACTGTGGTGCTGCGTCGGTGGGAGAGTATAGCAGGTAATTTAGTATTAACAATTGAGTTGAAAATGTAAATTGGCCACCGTAAAGGGTAAAAAAAAAGCTGATGTTTCGAGTGTAGCCCTTCGTCATCGCTTACATGGCTTATAACGAGACAGGATCTGTATGACAGAGTACGGATCAAGTAAGAAACAATCAGAATTCTCGGACTTACCTTAACACTACCTCGCTATATAATAAATCATAACCAAAATCCTTGAATTCAAACAATAGTAATGACCTGAAAATTAGTTAGAGAACATGGCAACTAAATTTTTTATAGGGGATGAGCTGATAATTATTATTCGCAAGTTCATGAATCTAATGCCATAATTAATTGAAGCGAACAGCATGAAAACAGTCACAGAAGAAAATAGGAAGAACAAACAAGTCATAACTTAGTCTTTTTTCGACTAAATGAAAAAATGAAAAAATTAAAATTAAAAGTCGAAAGTGAAAAATTGAAATTAAAAAATTTTTTTTGCTTCTGATTCAATATTGATTTAGATTCAGAATTTCCTGTTTTGCATTTTTGACTGTCTAAAAATAATTTAATAATAAATTTAAAAAAAAACATTGCTTTTGATTCAATTTTGATTTAGATTCAGGAGAACCGGACCGATTTTCCATTTTTTGACTAAATGAAAAATAAGAAAAAAAAAACAATTTTGTTCTTCTTTCAAATCATCAAACAGCAACTGTCACCTGAGCCCCGAATTTAACATATTCTTGCTTCCGGCCTTCTGATAAGGCCTGTCCGGATTGTTCTCGGAAACTTTTGAGCAGCGTTTGGCGTTGGGAGAAACTTCTTGTGGTTCTGACAACCTTAAGTAACTTTTTCCTTTCTGAGCAATTTTTTTGGCACCTTTTAGACTTAGAACACACATCAAGCACGATAAAGTCAAAGATTTCCAAAAAAAATTCGATCGATCTATGCAATTTCTTATATGTTTCGGCGGCCTATTGTCTAATATTAGAACGGGTAATCGGCTAAAACGACGGCAAAGATGACAAGATGGCTGTCTTTGTTGATTCATTTCCATGAACAGAAATGAATGGTTAGAAACCACCTTTATATGCGAGCAACTATTTAAAGCTAAGTTTGTTAATGCGAATAACGAAGAATATAAGGAATATAAGGAATTTAGGTAGCAGCTTTTGAAATTTAGGTAGCAGCCTTTTTGGATTTTTTGGCAATTTCTCAGTAATTTTTGGCTTTCCATTGAGCAACTTTCTGAAATTTGAAGAGCACAATCGAGACAGGCCTACTTCTAATTTCTGATAACCAAATTAGTGGCTGTTAAGGTTGCCTATGTCAACGGTTTGCTTTCAAAATCTGTATTTCCAAAAGAGAAAGTAACTTCGCTGATTGAGAATTTTACGTGGACAGAGAACTTTACACAATGACTCTGGCCGGGACTTAACTAAGCGTGAATCTTTTCATCTGAAGTACAACGACCTTCTCAACGAGCCCTACATCCTTCCAGTGGCTCTGGTACATCGTGGTGCATTCTCACGAAAATAACGCGAATTTGCGAAGAGACGAAAATCAGTTAACGTTCTTGATTTGCTTACAGTAATGCAATGACGACAATCAAATAGAGAATAATATATGGGTGCACGTAGATATGGAATTTCTCTTCGAACATTTAACTCGATAGCTCACGAGTAAACGCAGCGAACGAGTGAAATGTCGAGTTGAACGCGAAAAGAGAAATTTCATATCTACAAGCGACCATATATTATTTTGTTTATCATATAAACACAATAGCCCTTTGCTGACAAGAAAAGTGTACTTCACTATGATTGAAAATAAAAGGTTAGGCAATCCCCGAATAAAAATCGTTAAAGTGTGTTGGCGCAGTCAAGATGAAAACATGCATTGAATCACTACAAAAAACCAAACAATGGGCCTAATTTTCAAAATAAAAATTCTCAGATATGAATTGGTCCTTACCGACAGAAGAAATCTTTCAGGTATACGGCCAAAATCGGCCTGTGGCATATCTTCTGGTTGTCGATTTTCGTTCTCAGCCGCGAGAAATCCCATCACCAAAGCCATTCAATACGTAACTTTCGGTTTTTCTTTTTCGTATTTTGGTTTTCTTCCCCTTCTAGAAAAGTTTGAACGTCACTGTCTGTAAGCGACACGAATTTTTCATTCTTATAGCGGCCATAATCGAAAATAAAAACGACCTCGGGTTGAGAGTGGTGAAGGCGTTGCCGTTCATTCATCAACCTGACCGAGAGGCGCGAAAGGCGAATGACGTGTCAACAGCTTATTGGCGATATCAAACACTCGTGAAAAAAAAAGCGTATTTTTTCACGTCTGTTATTACAGCTTTTCTCAGGGCTGGAAATCCTTGTCTAACACCTTAGTTTACATGATAAATAATTTTAAACAATAGAGGGAATTCGTATAACCCGTTCGGTAGACCCTAATGAGTTTGCCACTAAAGGCTAATGATAAGAAAAATTAAGAGCCGTTGTGAGCATTTATTCAAATACATATTCACCGATGAGTTTCCCTCGTGAAAATTCCCAATCAATCGATGCTACAAACAGTTATGATTTTCGTCGGGTTGTGGTGACTTTAAAGTCACAAAAATCAGCAAAAAGGCGAATACATTCAGAAGCACTACACGTACGTGTGCACCTTCATGACCTTTTGGTTCCACATAATGTTTTTGGCTCCCTCTTGGCTAACTGCCGTAGCCACATGTCATCGACAGTACATTTGAGCGTGAATCACTCGTGCGGGGTCACGAGAACATTACACCCACGACATATTCTCGCTGATTTTGTGACTTTACAGTCACCACCACCCGACAAATATCATTACCCTTTGCAACATCGGTTGATTGAGAATCTCTGAGAAAATTCGGCGGCGAAAATGTCTTGCAATAGATGTTCACGACTGTTCTTAATTGTTCTTCTCATTTGTTATTAGTGACAAACTCACTGGCACTTAACGAATGAGTTATACGAATTTAGTCTATTTCCATCACAAATATACATATATACATAGTCTTTATTTCTGTGTCTAGTCGTTCTAGCGCCAAGGTACTAATTGGGGAAACTCGATTAAACCTATATTAAATCTTAAAAGGATCTTAAGACTCATAAACATTTGTCTAAACAGGTCTGGAGCTTTATATCTCTACTATAAGTTTCTTACCAAACTCTAATCTTCCGTCAAGTGAGTTTATGTAAAATCATTCTATGAGATCCTGCACTGCTTTAACTCAAAGTTGGTCAAGTTAAATACTTTGCAAAACTTTTCACTTGTTTTTCTTCTTCTTTAATTTAGGGTTTCAGAAGCAGTGACGTTGTCAACGCCGGCTTCTTTTTCATCTGTCGTTAACGTTTCACGATGACCTGAGCGAAGACTGCTTTAATTTAAATGAAGAAGTTCCGATATTCAATTCAGGTATGTCAAAGTAGCCACGATTCAGGAGAAATTCGTGTTGAGAAAAACATGAAATCAAGTTTAACGTCATTTTTTTTTTCTTATGCAATAGTTTTTTTTTTCCTTTTTTTTTTTTGTGCAGTGCAGCCAGTGCAGTTTGAATGAGATAAACACGAGTAATTCAGTTTTTAAAGACCGAGGAGATCTATGCAAAATAATTTAAAAAGCTTGTGTATATGATCCCAAAGTAGACAAATATTGACAAGATGGGATAACTCCTCTAACTCTTGTCTTTCCTCATCCTTTATATTTCGGTGGACGGCTTGGGAGACAGATTTGCAGGATCATGATTCTGCAAATAAAATGCAAATTAGGCAGGCGCGCGGTTTTAAATAGACTACGCGCTCGGCGGTCAGAAATGTTCGCAGAATTTACACTGAGTATTGCTCTCAATCTTCCTAACTTAGTATTAGAACTTTGTTTGGAAATGTGAAGCTAATCCAATAATTACTTTGGTGTTTAGTGGACGAATTTTCCGGGTTGTTTATACACTGAGATCAAATATTTTTTGCTCTGTATTGCCTTTATTTCTTCTGCATTGTGTTTCATGCAAGCTGCATTTATTTCAGCAAATCACAATGTAGAGGTTTAAACTTTTAAAAGAAATGTAGAAGTTTAAATTTTTTAAAGGAAATGTAGAAGTTTGAATTTATAAAGAATAGCAAACATTTATGTGGTGCATGTCGCGCGTTAATTGACTTTGAAAATTTCTCTAAGATTTGTTTTAAAAATGTTATAGAAAAAAGCGTTTAGTCGATACCACGAACAAACAATTGCAAGGTCCCTGCCTCTTTCTGAGGCGATCAACAATTTCAACAAATTTAAATGTTGTGGCTTTCACCGTTAACAAGCCGTCTTCCGCATCCACTCTAGCCAACACAAGCACTTACCTTTATATTAAAACTCCTGGTGCCATGTCAAAAATATTTTATTTGATCCTTTCTGGAATGTTTTCTATATTTTATCCAAATATGAAAATAACACTGTCTAATAAAGAATCTCTTAGATATTAAGACCGACGAGGAAAAGCTCTAATTAATCATTAACTTGCACAATGAGAGTGTTTCTTTGTCAGCCGGTTCAGACAAAAATTTTTCTTGCCTCACTAGAAATGATTAGTAAAACTGTGTGAAAGCCTTTACCTGTTTGAGTAAGAAACTTCAAAATGAGTCAGTTCTCTACCATATCTTATTCAAAACCATGCCAACAATTACAAAAAGGGATTTTATTAATACTGGCTTGTAATACTCTACAAAGGTATCTTAACTCGACATAGAAATACTCAGATTTGAATTCGCTTCAGCCTCTGGATCGAAAATCAGGAAATAGAATATGAGAATAATTCACCATTGTTCAGGTCAACCTCCTTAACAGTCGTTACATTCTAGAATTAAATCACCGTTTTAGTAACTTCTCCCGAAAAATGAGAATAATGCGTGGCTCGTGTTTGTGTTTAAATATCCTCTTCAAGCACGTACTAAAGACACACGCAGAGAATTAAAAGAAAGAGAATCATTTGTGTTCCTCTAAAAAGCCCAATAGAAATTTTATGCACTATTAGTACGCATGACCTTGGAAACGCTAGTATAAATAAGGTGTTTTTGTTTAAACTTTCTGGGAAACTGAACTACTTCTTTAAAACTCGTCCTTCCCGAGCAAAAATATAAATAATGCCGATACTTTCCCTTTTCAGACTTTTCTCTTTTGTCAAGCAACACTGATATTTACCCTGAGTTTTCTTTCAGCTACAACAAGGAAAGTTTCACTTAGGACTCTTAAAGAATTTATATTTTTTCATGTTGTGCGATCGTATCGAGCCGCCATGTTTGTTTGCATGTTGACACTTTTAGAGCTCGTGCTATATTTGCACCCAGATCTCGCGCGGTTAAAAAATAAGCTTTGGAGTCTAGTTGTGAATGGATAGTACAGGCCTGGCACAAAATTTTCCGTCATGAATACCTCGTGTTATTCGTGTAGGGAAAGTATCAAGCGACTGAAATTACATAAAAAGCACATTATTGAAAAACACTACGACCGTACAGGTGTTGATGACATCTCCGTATTCTATCCCGACATTCCTCTACCGATGGTGTTTGATAAATTCAAGGAAAACCTTCGGGCAGGCATCCTGAAAGGAAAATTTGATCGTCGATTGAGAAGGTTAATATATTCCTTTCGCCTCTATTTCGTCGTGGGTACGTTTCCAATTTCAAGACTTAGAGTTTGATGGGTCATTATAACCATTCTATACCGGTTGACGCCAAAATCATGATATCAACAAACTGCCTAATCATCGGAGAACAAGTTGCTGTTAATTTCGTGGCACATAGTTTACCATAGCAACAAATTCTGCGGAGGAGGCTCAGAGCCACCTTAAATTTTCGAAAATTTAAGGTGGCTCTGAGCCCCCTCCGCAGAATTTTTTTAAACTTTGCAAAAAGTTGCATCTTATCATGTTAATTACAATTTGATAATAAAAAATGGGGGTCACCGAGCGCGTTTTTGAGTTATAAGCGCTTAAAGCTAAAATTAAGGGTGTTTTTAGCGGGCCATATTGTTGCTATGGTAACCTATTGTGCCACGAAATTAACAGCAACTTGTTCCCCGATGATTGGGCAGTTTGTTACCATGATTTTGGCGTCAACCGGTATAGAATGGTTATAATGACCCATCAAACTCGTAAGTCTTGAAAAGTACTGGAAACTGTTACCGTCCACCTTTAAAGATAAGACAGTTGACAGAGTAATGAAATTCAAGTTGTTAGGAACTTGGCTCAATGAGAATGTTGCATGGACAGAACATGTAAACGAGGTCACATCATCATGGTATAGAGTGCTAGCTACTCTCAGGAAGATCAAGAATATGACATCACAACAGACTAAGAAGTCTCTTGTTCAAAGCCTCTTGCTATCCAAACTTTACTTTAATGACTCCGTCACTTATCCCCCTACCGCATTTCTGCAGAAAAGAGTACAACGCATTCAGAGTGTTGTTGCTGGCTTTGTCTTGAATCGTTTCTGCTCAGAAAGGGACGTTCTAGAGCTTGGCTGGCTACCTACACTGGAAAATACGCAATTAAACTTTCTTAAGCTTAGACATCGAGCTCTTGTTAGTGCGGCTTGGCCCGAATACCTTCAACCACCTAGGCACAATCCCCAACGTACACTGCGCTCTAGTAATGCGCCTTTGATAAAAAATTCTCTAATTAAGGGTACTTTACAGGACTCACTAGCGACTTTATTCAATGCCCTACCCGCAAATGTAAGGCAGTATCCAGACTTCAATACTTTCGCAAATAATTGTTGTACAATTCTTAAGAGCAGCGAAAACATGCGTTTAAACTCATAAGTTGTCTCGATAAGGTTTCGTATGGTATCTATAGTATGTTACATTATTTAGTTTTTAACAGTTTTTAATTCCTTTATGTAAATAGTGAATGTTTCTTGAATAACACTGTGTGCATTATGCATCATGTAAGTCGTAAGTTTTCAGTTAGTATAACGGATTTAGAGCTACCATGTAGAAAAACTGTCAACAAATCGTTATAATTATTATAATCATTATTATTTATCATTGAGAATGAAGCTTATGGAGCTTAAATGCAAAGTTCTGGTTCTTTGAAGGATAATCAAGTGAAGAACAAAGGTGATGAGGCTTCCTGTGAAGTCTAAAAAACTAGGTTTCGAAGCCTTAGCTAAAAAGTTTTACTGAAAGCAAAATCCGTTAATTTTCGCAGTGACGACTGATCGAGTGGAAACGATTGCTGATGTATGGTAGTGCCACATAAAGTTTCAAATCTTTCCAAACACCGTGGGGCTATTTCTGCGTATTACTATCCTCGATCTCCCAGAGCTGAAAATTGAAATAAATTCCACGAAAATTCTGGATTGGCTCTGTCAGAAGCAACGTGCATGACAGTCAAAAAGGCTTAAGCTCTATGATTTATCTCGGGTCCCTGTAATAAATAAAAGCCATTGTTCGTTATTGTTTTGAGAATTATCTCCTACATTTCATTATTTTTAAGATTGTGTATAATATAAAACTTTAATCATGTCCATTCTTGTACGAGTGATTTAGTGGCTTTTAAGAGACCTCTTGTAGTGTTGTCTTTGTTGGGAATAGTTGAATCCTATATTTTTGATGTAATTTGATTGTTTGTATGTGGTTTTTTGCAGCAACCAGCACGAGACTTGAGCGGGAAGATGTTACACAGAGGAATTAAATATTATGGTAAGGTTTTGCGTTGCTAGTGTGTTTGGGGGCCTTTAGATTGGAAAAAATTGAGGGAGTCTTGTTTCATTTTCAAGAATCATGTAATGCTTGCCGTTTAAATTTTCCTTTCATGTCCAAAAATATATCTGATCGAATTTGCAAAAACATGCACGATATGTGGCAAGATTGACAGTCGGGTTTATGCCTTGATAGAGCTCAGTTGGTGGGTGAATACCCTGCAGTTGGAGGGTGGTTTAAAGTCTAAAGTAGTATGTCTAGGAGGGGCTGCAAAACCTCAATGGCTAGGGTTAGGAGCATCACCCACCTTCAAGCCAGACTAGTCGATGAAAATGCAGGGGGCTTAACGTCAAAGGTAGTACCCTACATGCAACCCAGCCACTAACCTATCCAAGTATGGGTTGCAAACGGCTCTTTGTGGAAGGCTCTAGGAGTGGGAGGGGTAGGTTATTGGAACCTATATCTGACTGCCATTTTTTTCTGAGCCTGGAAGGGGCCTGTCTTTTTCATCTTGTTTGACAGCCTACAGGCTTGGTAGTCAGGCTTGCACCCTGTCACCTCAGCCACTACGCTAACACTCCATGGCTGGAGGCTGGCTGAGTGTCAAAATCATGCCTTTTGGGCGAGAGGACTCTATTGAAATTGCAAAAACTTGATGGTTTTGTTTAAAGGCGTGTATCGCCATAGTGGCCCTGCTTACGCGTCAAATGGAAGTTGTTTCATTGATGCATTACCCATTTGGCTACAATGATTTAAACAGAAAATTCTCGAAAGATTTGACAAATTACACTGGCTGACGTGCCGTTGATATCGATGGTCATTCGACGTTTGCCAGTAAAAGTGAATACTTCTATTACAGTGAACAGAATAATTGCTCTTTGTCAGTTGGTTGCAGCAAATTAATAAAAACAGCCCATTAAGATTGGTCTGAAGAAGGTAGAAATTCTATCAACAAAGTGTAAGGATGGAGTATGCGTTCAAGCAAAAAAAATTGTAAGGAATATAAAAGGCGTTTCAAGGGTTAGAGTGGGGTTTACAATAACTCCTCAGCTATCGTCGAGACTCAATCAGGGGGTACTCAAGACAGTTAGACGGCAGCTATCAAACTTTGAGAATTGTCTACCTCTCTCATTCTTTTTCGAGTAAATTTACATTTTCAAATGGTTTGCCCCTGAGAAAAATAAAATGATATTGGAATCCCAGGGAGTTCGTTTTTATGTATAGTTACGAAGTTTTGTTCTTTTGCTGACCAATACTAGGAATGGTAGTGAGTGATTCAAGGGAATATGAACCCAACTGGGTTTCTAGGTTTTGTTAATTCTCTGATAGCGTGGATCTGAGCTCCTGTTTGGCTGCCCACATCAAGTACACAGTTTGAATACCTTAACATCCATGTAGCAACCTTGAAAAATCTAAGACATCTCCATTCTGTTGATCTTGATTTTGTTTATGTCTGTAGTATTTCATACACTGTAATAGGGCGAAGCCAAAACTTTTACGCAGCCGTTCTTTGAGCTGAGATGTCACGCAGTGCCGCTCATTTTCATGCGCTGCGTGACATTCCAATTAACTACTGCACAGGAGTCAACGGACATGACACACCTGAGAACCAACGATCAACACTGTCGCCATTTGTAGCACCGCCACCACTACTGTTGTTTACTTCGCTTACAGACTTAGAACAACAGACAGCTGCAAAGTGACCCACCTTTTGGCATTTCAGACACTTCTTATCTTTTGCGAAACACTGTTCTGGCTTTGTGTGAGGGAGACTGCATTTGCCACACTTCTTTTGACTTTGTTTTTGGGATGAATCCTTTTTCTTCCCTTTACCTTTTCGCCAACAAGAACTCACTGGCGTCTTTTTGCTTTGGATTTCGTCCACATTCTTCGACGCAAGAGAATTCTGATCTGTAACCTGAGACTTGACCATTTCTTACTGACAAGCTATTTGGATGGCGGTTTCCAGCGTTAAATCCGACTTCAACTGCAACTTCTGAGACACATTTTTAGTCCAGGATTCCGATGACAATCCTATCCCATATTTGCTGATTCCGACCGGTCCCAAAATCACAGTGTTCAGCAAATTCATAAAGGTTTCGTACGAACGACTCGACCGTCTCTCCTTTGTTCTGATTCCTTTCGTGAAAACGTGCTCGCTTGTGAATTATGTTCCGTTTTGGAACAAAATGCTCATCAAACTTCGCCAAAATCACGCCAATTTTGGCATCATCTCCCTCCGCTAAGGTATAGATCTTGAAAACGATGATGACAGCGAAGACTGCGTTAAATGATGAAGTTTCGATATTCAATTCGGGTATGTAAAAGTGTATTCAAGTGCATACGCGACAAATACGTACAAAAATTACTTTTACACATTCAGAATAAATCAAAGTACATTTACCTACGGTGAAAGGAAAACGGAACGGTCTAACTTTTACGGAATGTTCAGTCAAAGTTTGCCGATTTCTGCTGCTTTGCCATATTGAAGATGAAGCTACCACAATGCAATGCAATCGCACACCGCCTGTACGCTAACATAAATGTTAATTTTTTTTAATTAAAATAAAAAAAACTCAAAAAGACTCCCCATAATTTGAATGCCCCTTGCAGATCCTATTCCTCCAAAAATTATATCAATTCTCGAACGAACGATTGCCGTTAGGCTCTTACCGATAGTGCTCGTAAAAAAAGCTTTAAATTGCTTAAAGCAGTGCTTTTTTTTTGCCAAAAAAAGTGCTAAAATAATACTAATTTTTTTAAAAAGTACTCGTGGGTTACATAAAAATGCTCACTTTTTTCCGATTTTTTTAAACGTAGAATATTCTTACAGTTTTATTTTTTTTCCACTGATTGATGGCAGAGTACGCTCTCGAGCTATCTTTGCCTTAGCTGGCTGACTTCCATTGTTCCTCGATGACAACTTGGTTGACGCCATCTTGAAACGAGTGTGATGAACTGGGTTTCTAGAAGGCAACCGCTGACCTATCAAACCTATTCCCCAGGCCTCCTCAGCTCCTTTGACTAAAATGAGGGCAAAATGCAGCTTTAGACGACATTAATAAAAGTCAGATTGTGCTTTTTAATACAAATTATACAAATTATCAGTCGAAAATCCAAAAAAAATGCTAACAGTACTTTTTGGGATAAAATGTGAAAAAAAAAAAAGTGCGCGAAGCCAAATAATGCCAGAAAAAGTGGTAGCACTATCGGTAAGAGCCTAATGGCCGCGCGCTGTGGGGAAACTGGACACGATGGCATCCACGAAATTCGAAAAAAATTTTTCATAAACACATAAGCACTTTTTGGGAAGCCATATTTCGTTATTCAACGCCCTGTAGTTTTGGGGAACGCTACCTTAAGGAAGCCATATTTTGTTATTCAACAACCTATGGCAGTGGAAACAATTCTACTTTTCTTTGTTTTGGCCGTGGCTTTCCGTCACTGTAGGTTATGTAGGGACAGTCCCGTTCGACTGAGATGGAGAACTAAACGCCACATCATCGATAAACATTTCGGCCGTGAAAATGTTGACACGTGTTCCACCTTTTATCCACATATTTCTGTACGGATGGTGTTTGAAAGATTTAAAGCCCAGTTTAGGGAAGGCTCTCTGGAGAAAGAACATCCTCGCTCATCGAGAAATCTAATCTATTATTGCCCCTTCAATTTTGTCGTGGGTTCCTCTCCATCGCCAGATGGACGTAGACGACTGAGAAGTCGTCATGTGAGGGTGCCATGCGTCCGCTCAACATGTCGTAACTGTTCTCATCCTGTGATAGTGATAAAAACAATTTTTCCCGATGGACAGGCCAGACCAATTTATTAAAGAACCAAACTTATGAAGCGAAAATCCAAGGTTCCGAAATGAAGAACATGCTATTGTTCTACATAGTTGTCACGAAGTAGAAAATCCAGCCAAAAAACAACTAGTTACTAGCACGAGTCAGCTATTTTCCCTTAGAAGTCGAATACATGTAATTTTTGATTACAAGAGATAAATTAAATCGACTATACATGCATTGGTCTTCTTCATCTGAATTTGATGTTCCTTTAAGATGTTATTCAGCAATGCGGGAGAAACTCTCCATGAAGCAAATGTAGGAATCATCCACTACATAATAGTTCAGCAAAATGCTACGAAGACCATTTAAAACTGAACAGTTTTTGAATGCGTTCTGCTCACACTCTTTGACAGATGTAATATGGTTTGATCATTAACTCTACTGATAGCTTCTCAAAAAATATATTTCCTCCTCTCCTTTGTTCCAAATTAAGCTTTCCTAGTAGAAATTCTGGAAATAAAGAAGCAAATCATGTTCTGCAAGTCCACCAGTCTTTTTATGCAAGTTTATCCTCTGAGTATAATCATACTTAAACTTTCGGGAATGAAAAGTAGGATAAGTTTCTAACTGAGTCAGAGTATCGTAGTAGAACTGATATATTTAATCTCGACGTATTCCGTAGACATTTTGCAAAACTCGCTCAGTCGAAAATATTTCTCAGGGGATTGACTTGTAACAGAGAATATGATAATGTCATTTCTTAAAATGAAGTATGAAGACCAATTCCAGTAACATTTTCGAAATTCGGTTGGCAAAGATTCGTACGGAAAAACTTGACAAAAAATGACATTTTTAGGCGAGTTGGGAGGCCTGTTTCAACGCTCTCCTAGTTGTTTCACTTCTGAAAGCCACTGCAACAAGTATCCTCGATGGATACCCAAGTGAAGAAGTAGGGTGATGAGGCTTCCTTTGAAGTCTAAAAGTTAGGTTTCAAAGCCTTGATTGCTGATGGGTGGTATTCCCACATAAAGTTTCAAATCTTTCAAAACACTGTGGGGCTATTTCTGAATCCAGGTAGTGTATTTGAAACACTGAAGATTGAAGTAAATTCTATGAGAATCCTGTAATGGGTCTATTAGAAGCGACGTGACAGACTAAAATTCTAAAACTCAAAGATTTATCTAAGGTGACTGTAATAAATAAAAGCCATAGTTATTGATTTGAGAATTATCTTCTACGTTTCATTATTTTTAAAACTGTGTAAAAATAGAATCATTATCATGTCAAGAGACCACTAAGATTGTTGTTTTTGTGGGAAGTGGTTGAATGCCATATTTTTGATGTAGTTTGATTGTTTATATGTGATTTTTTTTATAGCCGTGCCTTGCACAAGACATGAGCGGGAAGATGTTGCATAGGGGAATTAAATAGTATGGTAAGATTTTGCTTTGCCAGTGTATGGGGCCATAGATTAGCAAATAGCAAGGAAGTCTCTTTTCATTTTCAGAATCAGCTAATGCTTGGCGTTTTAATTTTTCTTTTATGTCCAAAAGGTATATCTGATTGGATTGCCAAAAACATGCCCGATATGTTGCAAGATTGACAGTCAGGTTCATGCGTTGATAGAGCTCAGTTAGTAGGTGAACACCATGTGGCTGGAGGGTGGTTGAAAGTCCAAAGCAATAGGCTGAGGAGGGGCTGCAAAATCTTGATGGTTAGAGTTACGAGCATACCCCGCCATTAGCCAGACTTGCCGATAATAATGCTGAAGGCTTAATTAACGTCAAGGGTAGTACCCCGTATGCAGCCCAGCCACTAACCTATCTAAGGATGGGTTGCAAATGGCCTTGTAAGGAAAATCCAGGGGTGGGGAGGGTATGTTATTAGACCCCTTGTCTAACTGGCAGTTTTCTATGAGGCTGGAAGGGGCTTGTCTTATTCATCTTATTTGACTGCCTGCATTACAGGATCGGTGGTAATGATTGTACCCTTTTCACACCACAGCCACTGGGCTAACACTCCATGGCTAGATGGTGGTTGAGTGTTAAAAGCATGCCTTTGGGAGAGTGGGCTCTATTGACATTGTAAAAACCTTATGTCTAGGTTTTCTCTTGAGGGTGGTTATCGCCATAGTGGCCCTGCTTACGCTTTCAATGGAAAGTCTTTCATAAATGCATTACTAAAGGGGGATAATTCTATTACTGTAAGCAGAATAATTGCTATTGGTCAGCTGGTTGCAGCAAATTGATAAAAATAGCCTTTTAAGATTGGTCTGATGAAGTTAGAAATTCTCTCAACAAAGCATAAGGATGGAGTATGCAGTCAAGTAAGGAGAAATTGGAAGAAATGTCATAGGCGTTTCAACAAAACGAAATCTTCTAAAACACAACAATATTTTCCAGAACACAAAAAAATCTTCTGAAACACGATAATCTTTTCCAGAACAACAAAATTTTCTGATACACAAAAGCAAGCTAAAACACACCAAAGTACTGGTGACTAAACCTGTCGCTGGAAGCGACCGGAACCTGGGACTAGCTCTGGCTACATACTGCGAATTAAGGCGCCATTTTTGTAACTATGCAATGTTCATTTCCACAAGATGCAGAAGCGCACAAGTATGGTTCATCTCCGGCGAACCAAAGGATTGAAGGCCAGGGGGCATTTTAAAGAAGAAAAAGGTCTGTGTGGTGGATTTACTTCTTTAAAAGTCTCATGGAACAGGAAATCTTTAACCCAGGAGATGAGATTCAAATGGCATGCCTTTGGTTCTGTTTCGCTCAATTACTACAAGATGACCTGGATGAAATTAAACAACATTGGTACACAAATTTAATTAGGGGCTCTAGCCATGACACTATCAGTGGGAGACCGGATGAACTGTTCTTTCTCCCAGAGCTGCATGGAGGAGTAGATGGTCTACTTCACCCAATCTTGGATGATGAGATCTAATCCATGAGGGAGAACCTGACTTATGGAGAGGAGAAAAGTATCTACCAAGAGTACTTTGAATATGTAATTGAAAACACTGAGTTGTAGCTGCCCCACAATTGAAGAGGGACTCTTTCTGTATGAAAGAACTCCTTGAAATTGCTAACGCATGATGTTTGACGAACAAGAACGAGCTGTGCGATATCGGTGGAGGTAGGTTCGTACATTAAGTGTTCCCTTTGTTATAAGCCCATCACACTAATGATCATATAGCCATGACTGATGTATGCTTTTTATTTTCCATTTCACTACTGTGCAAGTAAAACTAAAGAAAAAGGTTGGCATCAAACTCAACTTTAAAATCTTTTAATATAATTATCCATCACAAGTGGTTACCAGTACATCTCACAAAGCAGTTATCTTTTGACAGCAAGTGTTATTTCCTCGAAGTGCTCATAGGAACAAGAATGTGATCAGTAGATTTCAACTGTACAATATCTAGATTCAAGTAAATGAACAACTTGGAAATTTGCTTTCTTTCTCATCATACTAAAGCAATGATATCTACTAATGACATCAGAACCAAAACAATACCAACACATACAGGGGCTTACTACTTACATCACTTCATAACTTATGACCAAAAATCTGCCATCTCTTCCCCTACACTAGCAGTCAATTTTTATAGTCCTCCCTTTCTTTAGCAAATAGAGAAGCCATGACTGTGCTCTATTTCTGTTGTATTTAAGCATGTTGGAAGCTGCTAGAGCATGAAGGAAGTGGTAGAGTTCTCAAGCCACTTCTTAAGTGCTTTACAACAGAACAGAGCACTGTCAAGGCTTCTCTATTTTTTTTATAATAAAGAATCTGTTAAATAATGCATTACTCTCAATTTTCAAAACAAACTTAAGGCAATAATTTATGACTGGTTTTAATTGGGGCATAGTGATACTAAATTTGTCTTCCCTCTAATTTTGCCCACTCCTTTTACATCCCTTTCTTGAGTCAGTTTTTGTTTTGTTTTAGAGAAGATCCCATTAAGCCATCCTAGATATAATGCAGTTGGTCAAAATGCTTTCCTAGTCTTAATACAGTAAAGATATTGTGGCACCTTATATGGCACCTTTTATAAACAAGGATGTCCTCTGAGATTTTCTTAAGCTCATGGCTCAACCTTTTGTGACTTTGATATGAGAGTAACTCTTAAATGTAGTGCACATTTTGATTGAGTATTTAAAGTAATCACAAAAAACAATCACAATGACTAAATAATAACTCTAAATCAAGACACAAACAAAGCCTACTTTTCAAAGAGCAGGAAGACTTGAGTGATTAACCTTCTACACCATAACATCACAATGTACATTCTCCATAATATTCTATTCATACAAGAATAATTTGTTCAGCGATCAAGAGCTTCTTAAGTTGGTGATCATTTCCTTTATTCTCATAACCTTCCTGTTTGATTCAGGGTTAATAATGTAGGGAGAAATCAGATGCTGGTCAGCTCTCAGTGGTTGAAGGGTTAAGTCATGATTGGGTTAAGTATAGCATCTGACTGGGTGAGAGATTGATGTGAGTTTGTTGAACCACTCATACAGCAAAGTGAAGGGATACCAATGCAGTGGATACTAAGTTGAAAATTTCCTTATCTTTCAGGACACCTTCAGTTACGATTCAAAAGCGTGGTCTTCCAGATCTTCAGTTCCTCCCAAAAATGGAGTCACAGGATTGGATCACTTGGAGACTGTGTTACCAACCTACTGGAGCACATCCTTTGCAGTTCCCCTTATTCCAGAATCGGATATGGCAGAGGAGGATCAGGATATGAAAATGCATGAGGAAAAAGAGCTTTGTAGAGGGTAGACAATGGAGACAAAAATATCAAGGTATTTGGATACATTTTCCTTTATTTAAGACACTGAACTGCTCTGCTCCAAGAAAAAGCTGCATGCAATATGGAGTAATTATCATGCTCTAATTTCAGGTGGAATTTTAAACCTTTAACTCCCAGGATCCAATTGTCAATTCTCCCCTCTAGCTGCTACACATTATTTTGTAAGCTAGTTAAAAGGATTTGATGGTAGATCAAGATAACAACTTCTACCTGATAAGTTTGGGTATTCTCATTAACTGTTTACTGGATAATGACTGGATATTATAGGGAGAAGTTACTTGTTAATCACTTGTGGGAGTTATAGGGTTAAATATGGGTTTTTGCTTTTGCTGTTAAATGAAGGGAAAGTAAAAGGGGGTCAGTGAATTAAGACAGGTTTCTCTTTGTATTGTAGTTACACGAAGGAAAATCTGCCTTTCTTGGGAGATTTATCACTTTTACTCTCACAAGTGGCCATTAAGTTACTTTTCCTTTAACCCTTTAACTCCCAGAAGTGATGAACATGTAACTTCTCCCTATAATATCCATAAATTGTCCAACAATCAGGTAATGAGAATACTCAAACTTATCTGATAGAAGTTGTTATCTTGATCTAGCATCAAATCCTCATAACTAACTTACAAAGAAATGTGTGGCAGCTAGAGTGAAGAATTGATGATTAGATCTTGAGAGTTAATGGGTTAACATTTTATCCACAGACTGTATGGTAGTTGACAATTTTGAATTTAATCAAGTTTTAAAGTGAGGGCTAGACACAAACTCTTAGATTACAGGAAATAAATAGCAGACCATGACAATAAGTGACCAGTTAAAATTTTATTGCCAAGGGGGGGGGGGCTGAGATGATTTTTGGGGGGATCACATGGTTTTCAGGTGAATGGTGAGGGGATCTGTCATTCACAAACAGACTATAGAGGCATTGTAGAAAATTGAGTGTTTTTTCTTTTGTATTTTTCCCGTTCACCCCCATTCCCTTCTTTAGAACCTCACCACACAAGCCACATTTACCTGATAGGGGTCAATCATTAAAATTCAAGTAGTAGAATGTAGGAAAAAATGCATGTACAATGTTGCCTGATATTCCACTTGAATAAGCTTAGTTGTCCTTAGTTGAGATGACTGGATACGCATTATTGTGAGTACAATTCAAGAACAAATTTTGTCAAGGATGGAAACAAACCTCCAAGGGTTTCTTTATTTCAACAGTTACAAACATTACTTAAGACATCATTTTCATAAAAAGTTCTCAATCTAATCCAGTGCTGCAGCTCCTGAGATGATCTCAATCAATTCCCTTGTAATCACAGCTTGGCGAGTTTGATTGTATGTCAGAGTCAACTTGTCAATCATTTCACCTTTAAGTTCAGATCTTGCACCAAGATTTCATTAGTAATTCTCCTCACTGTCTACCATACAGTTCTTGTGATGTTAGTTTTGAGAATTTGGTATTGGATCAACGACTAATCCTCTAACTGATATATTTCTTTATTTTTGTCACTTATCTGCTTGATATTGTATTGATATCGCAAGGAGAAATTCTGTCTTGGTCACTTATGGGAGTTAAAGGGTTAAGAGAGATGGAAAGAGTAAACTTTAATGAGGGTAAAATTCTTTTGCACACCATTTTGGGGTTGAAATACTCATTCTCTGACCAAATCACATGAACAAGGGTTGATAATGTAGAGAGAAATTAGATGCTAGTCAGCTCTTAGTGGTTTAAGGGTTAAATCATGATTGGGTTAAGTATCGCATCTGACCAGGCAAGAGATTAATGCAAGTTTGCTGGACCACTCATAGAACAAAGTGAAGTAATACCAATACAATGGATACTAAGTTGAAAAATTTTCTTATCTCGCAGGAAACCTTCAGTTACCTTCAGGTCTTCAGTCTCTCAAAAATGGAGTCGCCAGATTGGATCACTTGGAGACCCTGTTTCCAACCTACTGAAGCACTTCCTTCACCAAGATATGCCATGGCATGAAGGTTGATGGGGTAACCAGGTTCTTGCAATTGGGTCAGGAAGCAGCCCCACTGTATCCTCTCTTTGCTGATGGTTAATACCATGCTACCTCGCTAGATTGGGAAGCATGGAATGGGCTGATTGTCCTGATGCCTTTCTGCAGTGATGATGTAATCATGAAGGGTTCAATTCACATGTAGCAGGTAATGGATTCAGCAGGGTACAAATAAGTGTCATTGGCAATGAACAAGATGATTGCAATTCCCCAGATTCCAGAATCGGATCTGGTGAAGGAGGATCAGGATATGAAAATGTGTGTGGATACAGAGCTTTGTGGAGTGCAGACAACAGACAAAAATATCAAGAAATTTGGTTACATCTTCATTCAATAAAGACACTGAACCACTCTACTCAAAGAAAAAACTGCATGCAACATAAAGCAATGATTATGCTTTAATTTCAGTATTGGGATTTTGAAATGTGAATTTTGGCTTTAGCTATTAAAAGTGTGTTAATGAATCGAAATCACCTTTATCTTTGTAATGTAGTCACTCAAAGGAAAATCTGTTTTTCTTGGGAGATTTGTCACTTTTACCATTAAAAGTGACCATTATGTTACTCCTCTTTTTACATTTTGTGTACAGATTGTCTGGTAGATGACAATGTTGAATAACATGAGTGTTTAACCCTTTAAATCCCATGAGTGACCAAGACAGAATTTCTCCTTACAATATCAAGCAGACAAGTGATGAGAGTGAAGAAAATATCAATTAGGGGATTATAACTTGATCTAATACCAAATTCTCCAAACTAACATAACAAGAACTATATGGCAGACAGTAAAGAGAATCACTTATGAGATCTTGGGTGTTAAAGGGTTAAGTTAGGGCCAGACACAAACACTTAAATGATATGCAACCAGTTATCATTTTATCATCAAGGGAGGGGGGTTGGAGGCTCTTTTGGGGATCACATGGTTTTCAGGTGAACTGTTAGGGGTTTTGTCAGTCACGAACAGACTATAAAAAGGCACTGTAGAAAATAGTGTTTTTTTTTCCCATTCACCCCTATTCCCCATCATTTATTTACCCTTTCATTCCTGTGAGTGACCAAGACAATTTCTCCTTACAGTATCAATAAAATATCAAGCAAATAAGTGATGAA